CTTCTATATACCGCAGACATCTAACATCTATAAACAGAAGACCTTCCACAGGTCTTCTATATACCGAAGACCTTAACCTTCTATGGACGGAAGACCTTCAAGAGGTCTTTTACACACAGAATACATTCAAGAGGTCTCCTATAGACAGAGAACCTTCCTGAGGTCTTATATAAACAGAAGACCTTAAAGAGGTTTTCCATAGACAGGCCTTCTGTCAAGAGGTCTTCCGTAGACAGAATATCTTCCACAGGTCTTCTATTGACAGAAGTCCTTCAAGAGGTCCATTGTAGACAGAAGTCTTTAAAGAGGTCTTCTGTAGATAGAATACCTTCAACAAGTCTTCTGTAGACAGAAGACCTTTAACGGTTCTTCTATAGGCTGAACACCTTTAACGTCTCTTTTATAGACAGAAGTCCCTCAAGAGAGATGACCTTCAACAGGTCTTCTGTTGACCGAATACCTATAACTGGTCTTCTATAGACAAAATACCTACCAGAGATCATCTATAGACAAAAGACCTTCAAGAGGTTTTCCATAGACAGAAGACCTTCAAGTCGTCTTCTATAGACAGAAGATTCTGAACATGTCTTCTATTCACAGAAGACCTTCAGCAGGTCTTCTATTGACCGAAAACCTTCTTTAGGCATAAGATCTTCAAGGGGTTTTCTATAGACAGGAGACTTTAAATGGGCTTCTCTAGACAGAATATCCTGAACAGGCCTTCTATTGATAGAAGACCTTCCACAGGTCTTCTTCTTTGTACAGAAGACCTTTAAAAGGGCTCCTGTAGGCAGAAGGCCTTCAACGGGTCATCTGTAGACCGACCTTTAATAGGTCTTCTATAGACCGAAGACCTTGAAACGGTCTTCTATAGATCGAAGACCTTCAACTAGTCTTCTATAGAAAAACGAAAAACGGTCTTCCATAGACAAAAGTCCTTGAAAACGCCTTCTAAACAAAAAATTTTTACAATAGCTCTTCTACAGGCCGTAGACCTTCAAAAGGTCTTCTGTATACGGAAGACCTGTCTTCAGTCTTTCTTTAAACCTTGACCTCCACAAGATATAAAAATACCATCTCTTATATTTCTTAGTCACCAACTAGTGCCTTGTCCAACTGGCCACTCTTTACAATTCGTAAAATGCTAACGCATTCACTCGTTCAGCCAGTCAGTCAGTCACTCACTCATTCGTCCGTAGTCGACTGTGTCAATAATACTTGAATGAAAAAAAAAAAACAAAAAAAAAACGAAAGCAACCAAAACATTCATTATGACCCCCCATCATTTGCCGCAGAAGAATTTCCTTCATTTTTGTTGTCGTCGTTGCCGTTTGTAAAATTCACTTACACTGCCATCTGAAAACATGAAGTACCTTCAGATAGAGACCCCCTCATACTTCACCCCCTCTGACCAATCGATGGGATTAAGCACCTGTTTATTTGTTCTGTTACGAATAATTTGGTGTTGTTATTGTTGTTGCTGCTTTTTTCTGTTTCGTTTTTCGATATTATCTCCATGATGGGGGGAGGTATTAACTCTGGAGTTCAACTCGTTTCTACAGTGTTCCTTTTTAAAGAGGTTTTAAGTTCGGTTCTTATTGGGTAAATTTCGGGCCCAATTTTAATAATGTTTCAGTTTGATGAACAAGATCAGGTTGAATTCGACGACAGAATATTATTGAAGTGTGATTTTCAATTGTGGAATCGTGAATTTTTAAAAATTATGGGAAGCTGAAGCTTACTCAGCAATTTTGACCCTTTTGTGGGTATGCCGATTTATCCCATCTTTACAGCAGATCTTGTGTTGATCGAAATTTTGGGATTTGTGAAATTTGATGAGATTCGGATGCTTCTTTCGCATTTTATGAACGTTTTGAATATTCCAAATTTTGACCCCTTTGTGGGGGAGGTACCAGAAGGAATGGTACGACCTCTTCCATCTTTTTAGCAGATCTTGTGTTAGTTAAAATATTGGGATGTGAGAAATTTGAATACAATCAGAAGCTTACTTCGCAATTTAAGAAGGGTTTTAGTTATTCCAAATTTTGAACCCTTTGTGGGGGAGGTACCAGAAGGGGTGGGGGATATCTATCAGTTTCACCACATATCCTGTGTTAATTTTAATATTGGGATTTGTGAAATTTGAAAGGAATCGAATGCTTATTTCGCATTTTATGAGCGTTTTTGGTTATTCAAAATGCTGACCCTTTGTGGGGGAGGTACCAGAAGGCGTGGACCGATATATTCCAACTATACACCAAATCTTGTGTTAGTAAAAATATTGCGATGTAGGAGATTTGAATAGAATTGGTTGCTTATTCCGCATTTTATCGCAATTTAAGAATGGTTTTACTTATTCCGAATGTTGACCCCTTTGCGTGGGAGGTACCAGAAGGGGTGGGCCGATATATTCCATGTTCATACCATATCTTGTGTCAATAGAAATATTGGGATTTGAGAAATTTGAATAGAATCGGATACTTATTTCGCATTTTATGAATGTTTTTGTTTATTCGAACTGTGGGCCCTTTGTGGGGGAGGTATCAGAAGGAGTGGGAGGATAGTGTCCATTTCCCCACCAGACTTTATGTTAGTAGAAATATTGGAATGTTTGAAGTTTAGAATGAATCGAATACATATTTCGTAATTTTTAAAGCGTTTTAGTTATTCGGAATTATGACCCCTTTGTGGGGGGAGTACTAGAAGAGGTGGTCCTATATATTCCAATTTAACATCAGATCTTATGTTAGTAGAAATATTGGGATTTGCAGATTTTGAAAGTAATCGGATGCTCATTTCGCACTTTTAGAAGCATTTTAGTTATTCCGAATTTTGACCCCTTTGTGTGGGAGGTACCAGAAGGGGTGGGCCGATATATTCCATCTTCATACCATATCTTGTGTCGATAGAAATATTGGGAATTGAGAAATTTGAATAGAATCGGATACTTATTTCGCATTTTATGAACGTTTTTGTTTATTCCAAATGTGGACCCTTTGTGGGGGAGGTACCAGAAGGAGTGGGAGGATAGAGTCCATTTTCCCAACAGACTTTATGTTAGTAGAAATATTGGAATGTATGAAGTTTAGAATGAATCGGATGCTTATTTCGTATTTTTAAAAGCGTTTTTGTTATTCGAAATTTTGACCCTTTTGTGGGGGAGGGGCAGAAGGGGTGGTCCTATATATTCCAATTTAACACCAGATCTTATGTTAGTAGAAATATTGGGATTTGCAGATTTTGAAAGTAATCGGATGCTCATTTCGCACTTTTAGAAGCATTTTAGTTATTCCGAATTTTGACCCCTTTGTGTGGGAGGTACCAGAAGGGGTGGGCCGATATATTCCATCTTCATACCATATCTTGTGTCGATAGAAATATTGGGAATTGAGAAATTTGAATAGAATCGGATACTTATTTCGCATTTTATGAACGTTTTTGTTTATTCCAAATGTGGACCCTTTGTGGGGGAGGTACCAGAAGGAGTGGGAGGATAGAGTCCATTTTCCCAACAGACTTTATGTTAGTAGAAATATTGGAATGTATGAAGTTTAGAATGAATCGGATGCTTATTTCGTATTTTTAAAAGCGTTTTTGTTATTCGAAATTTTGACCCTTTTGTGGGGGAGGGGCAGAAGGGGTGGTCCTATATATTCCAATTTAACACCAGATCTTATGTTAGTAGAAATATTGGGATTTGCAGATTTTGAAAGTAATCGGATGCTCATTTCGCACTTTTAGAAGCATTTTAGTTATTCCGAATTTTGACCCCTTTGTGTGGGAGGTACCAGAAGAAGTGAAATGATCTTTTCCAAATTTACACCAGGTCTTGCGTTAGTGGAAATATTGGGATGAGTAAATTTTGAAAAGAATCGGAAGCTTATTCTGCATTTTATGAGTGTTTTTGATTATTCAAAATTTTGACCCCTTCGTGTGGGAGGTACCAGAAGGGGTGATCCGATACCCACCATCTTCGCCCCAGATATTTTATTAAGAAAAAGATTGTGATGTGGGAAATTTTAATGAAATCGAATGCTTATTTCGCATTTTAGCATTTTAGTTATTCCAAATTCAGACCCCTATGTGGGGGAGGTACCAGAAGGAGAGGGCCGATATATACCATCTTCACACCAGATCACGTTTTAATAAAAATATTGGGATGAGTAAAATTTGAAGACACTCTTTTACTTATTTCGCATTTTATGAGCGTTTTAGTTATTCAAAATTTTGTCCCCTTTGTGGGGGAGGTACCAAAAAGGGTGGACGGATATATTCCAACTTCACACCAGATCTGGTGTTAGTGGAAATATTGGGATGTGCGAAAGTTGAAGACAATCGAACTCTTATTTCACACTTTATGAGTGTTATAATTATTCAGAATTTTAACCCCTTTGCGGGGGAGGTACTTGACGGAGTGATCCGATGTTGTCCCTCTTCGCACCCGACCTAGCACTGATAAAAATATTGGGATTTCCAATGTTTGAATAACATTGAATGATCCCTTCCTTCTCTATGAGGTAAATTATTTGCTGTGAAAATTTCGACGTTTTGGGGGAGGAACCAGAAGGAGTGGATCAATGTTGCCCATTTCCGAACTCATACTAAGTAGGACAATAAAATTACGATGTGCCAAGATTGGACAAAATCGGATGCTCCCTTCGGGAGTTATCTTGCTCACCTACCAGATAGACATGTGGACGGATGGACACAACTAGATTGACTTCTAATGTCCTGAAACGGATTTGTTCCAAAGAAACCTAGAATCTAAACCCTGTATTTCCATGAGACACGTTTTGGCCATATCAAATGATATATACCCCCTGTAGGCATATGGCTGAGGGTATAAAAATATGTTTTCATGGACAGCAGATATTGAAAATATATTTTTAGAAACTATTTTCAAAAATGTTTCAAAAATTAGTTTTCCAGAGCTGTCCAAGTCCTTAGATTGGTTTAAAAATATTTTTTTTAATTTCATAAAAAATCAATGCTTGACTTACCGCTCCGAAATATTTCATTTCTTTACTTCTCATCCGTCGATGCTGGGCAATTGTGGGCGCTGAGGAGGCTGCTGTTGCCGATTCATAACCGGACGCTGTCAGACCATTGAGAGCGGCAGCAGCTGCTGCCGCCGCCACCGCATGTTGCTGATGCGGATTGTGATGATGATGTTGTTGCTGCTGGTGCTGGTGATGATGATGACCGTTGGTTGTGATGCCACCGTTGCCGGAACTATTGCCACTGTTGTTTAATGCCGAAGCGGAACTACCGCCACCGTTAATACCACTACTAACTGTCCCAGCACCTGCACCCAATATTCCTCCACCGCCACCACCACCACCGCCCGCTATACCCGCCGCCATTGAACTGGCACTGCCACCTCCCGCTTCCATAAAATCGAAACGCTTAAATGCATACCATTTGGATGGATTCGGCTGTATGCCCTGATACAGTTTAACCAACATTTTGTGTTTCTCACGCCGGTACTGTGTCAGCAGGACATTCATTTTACGCTCCACCTCGGCCTTGCTGCAACCGAAACGTTCTGCTATCTCCGACCAGGCTCGAAAACGACACAACTTGTCTTTGTACTTTGGATCGGCACGATTCCAGAGCTCGGTGTGCGAGCGATACTGTTCGATTAGTTCGAGGGCATCATCGTTGGTCCATTCCATGATCTTGGCCTGCATCAGACTGTTGCGTAATGCAGCTGGATTGAAATTCATTTGAGAGCGGGGGGGGAGAGAGACGAGAATTGTGCCTCAAAACGCGAGAAATTTTTTTTGGTGGTGCAAAGGTGGGTGGGGGCTGAACACAATTTGGTTGAAATGTTTTGAGAGATTTATTTTCTATACTTCCAGGTGGGTGGGTGTTTGAGTTCGATCGGTGGTTGGTTGGCTGGTTGTTCCAGAGACGATATGGCTTGTGATATGCAGCAGAATCCGTCGAGAGCAATTTCTCTTCGTTTCGTTGTTGATTTTGGCTGTGTTTTGGTGTTTTTAAATAAATTTGTATTTTTTTTTTTGTTGTTGCTTGGTTTTTTCTGTTGTAGTTGTAGTTGCTGTTGTTGTTTTTGTTGTTGTTGTTGTTTATCAAGGAATGTTTTTAAGAAAAATGCCGTCTTCGTATTGTATGACAATCGTTATTGGCTGTTGCGGCATTTTGCCTATTTTGTTTTTTAAATGTCTTTTGAGTTTTGAAATCAGGAAACCTTCTCATTGCCTCAAACGTTTTGTATGCGGCTGTTTTCGCCACTTCAAGGTTCCGTTCGGCGATTAGTTTGTGTTTGTCGTGCTGACACTGAAAGTGGAAAAAAAACAGAAAAATTCAATTAAAAAAAATTAGGTTTTGAAATTAGAACAAAATTTTTGTTTAGAAACTGAATGATTCCGAAAAGAAGTGATCTTCAATTAAAAACAAGTAAAAAAAAAGCAGTAAGGCCGGGCCGAACTTTGTATACCCTCCACGCATTTGGAAATTTTCGAAAAAGATAACATTTGCCAAAAATAAAAATACCGACAACATCTTAAAAATATAGACAATTTTCTGTCAAAGGCTGTAGCTTCCATTACGAACATCAAATACCAAATTTGAAACAATTCTGGTGAAAAATGCCCCGAAAATCATTAAAATACCGAATATCGGGAGGTACCGTTATATGGGGGCTTTACGAAGAGGTGGACCTACACAGACAAATTTCTGTCGAAGGCTTAAGTATCCATTACGAACTTCAAATACCAAATTTGAAACAATTCCGGTATATAAATTCGCTAAAATCATCAAAATACCGAATATCGGGAGGTACCGTTATATGGGGACTATACAGACAGACGGACATCGTTAGATCGTCTTAGAATTTCACGTTGATCCAAAATATATATACTTTGTAGGGTCTATTATGAATATTCCAAGATGAGATATTTGGCCCAAATAGGGCCGAGACAAATTTTTTATATCACAATATTCCAGGAAATATCGGTTTGGTTCAACCCTATTTTGTTACATACCTAAATTTCAGATACCAACAGACCCCTCAATATCAAATTAGATGATTCCAGATCTATCCCTTCAGTCAATGCCAAATTAAGTTCCACTTAGTACTTTGAGTAAAATTATGGTACACCTTTCCAAAACCACCTCTATATCTTAACCACAGACCCCAACAGTGACCTCAATATAAAATTTGGGGATTCCAACCCTATACCTTCACCCAATAAAAAGTAGCAACATTAAGTACTAGTCGTACAAATACAGTACACGTTTACAAAGGTGCCGTATCATAATCCCCACGGAAATAATCTCCATTACAATTATGGAGAATTCGGTCATAACTCTCACAATGGAGTGGGGATTATGTCCCAAACAAAAATTGGTCATTATCCCCAGAACGAACCATAATAATGGAGATTATGTCCAGAACCATTGTGGATATAACCCCCAATATGGGTTAGGTATTTTTAACCTGATTACGTCAAACCAATTTTTTCTTGGTGAAAATAACTGGTTTCCCGATTATTCAACCCGAATGTTCGGATAAAAAATGTGGGGTTTATCCTGTTTTACAATAGTCCTTGAAGTATGGGATCGCTTCAACCCTATTCTGTTACATCGTAAACGACTGTCATGTAAATAGGGCTCAAGACCAAAGACAACACCACCAACACTCAGTCACATGGCTACAGAGGGTATATATCATTTGTTACAACCAAAACGTACCTCATCGAAGTAACGGTTCTAGACGCTAGGTCTCAGTGCTTCAAATCCGTTTTAGGACAATTGGAGTCGATCTAGGGGTATTCGTTCGTCCACCCGCCTGTCTGTCTGTCTGGCAGCCAGACTCTCGAAGGGAGTGTCCGATTTGACCAAAACTTGGTACTTCGTAATATTATTGGCAAACTCAGAGTTCGCAACATCCATTCTTTTGGGTACCTCCCCTAAAAAAGGTCAACATTTGCAAAGAAAATAATTTTCCGTATCGAATGGGAAAATATTATCCAATTTTGTTAAAATTGTACATATCCCAATATTTGTATCTGTGCTATGTCAACTGTGAAAATGGACAATATCGACCTCCCTCACAAAGTGTCAACATTTCGAATAATTATAATTCTTATAAAATGCCAGGTAAGAGTTTGTTTGTCTTCACTTGACACACACCACAATATTTTTATTAACCTAAGTTCAGGTGCGAAAATGGAAAATATTGGTCCACTCCATGTAGTACCTTCCCCACAAAGGGTCACATTATTGAATATCCATGAAGCTCATAAAACGTGAAATTAACATTCGATTCTATTAAGATTCGCACATCTCAATTGTCCATCAACTCAAGATCTTTTACTATCAATGAAGCTTATAAAACGCAAAATAACCTTCGATTCTTTTAGACTCCTTCAACTCAAAATCTGTTAAAAAGATGGTAGAGATCGGAAAATTCCTTGTGGTAAAAACAAAGGGTAAAAATGTTGAAAAACAAAACGCTCAAAGAAAGCGGAATAAGCATCCAACTCTCTTCAAATTTCACACATACAAACATGTTTGCAGAAGATGATATATATCTGTAAACCCTTCTGGTGCCTCTTCCACAAAGGATCACAATTTTCAATACTTTTATTTGTAGCACTAAGGCAAATATTAAGATTTGCAAAGTTGGTAAAATATTTTCTTTGAAAAGTTGGATCTTTTGTGGGGGAGGTACCAGAAGGAGTGAGTCGATATTGCCCATCTCCGAACTCGATCTGAGTTTGAAAATAATATTACGATGTACCAAGTTTGGACCTCACGTCGAGAGTTATCGTACGGATATGGCTGGATCGACTCCAAATGTCCTGAAACGGATTTGGTCCAAAGCGACCTAGGTTCTAAAACTCGTTATTTCGATGAGGCATGGCTGAGGGTCTTTAAATGTCCCAATGTAGATATAGGTCAGAGATGGTCTAAGATAAAAAATACATAAATACTACACGTGCTATTATTATTTTTGTTTTTTTTTCTTCACGCCTTTCATTGTCGTGTGCGATCATTAAAAATAAAATGCCAATCCCAAATTCTAAAATTTTGAAGGGGACGACCGTTGTTTTTTGGCGTAAAACAATTCTTTAATGGAGGCTGCGTGTGTTTTATTAATTTGTTTGTTTGTTTGTTTGTTTACACTCTAAGTGGCCATGCGCCGTCGTTGGTGTTGTTGTTGTTGGTTGTGTGCACAACAATTGGCTAGGTGTAGCCGATGAGAAATGGAAATTTTCTGAACACAATTCAGAAATAATGTCTTTTTGGTGAGCTAGTATTTCTACGGTAGAACAAGTCTTCTTTTCAAAGGGGTTTTTAGAGGAAATCCTATGCTATACATTTTTTTTTTCAAAAATTTTTCACCCTGGTACCCACCCGATATTCGGTATTTTGATGATTTTAGCGACATTATTCACCGGAATTTTTTCAAATTTGGCATTTGAAGTTCGAAATGGATATTACAGCCTAAGACAGAAAATGGATCATGCAGGTCCACGTCTTCGTAAGCGATTACAATATTCAAATGCAAAACTTGAAAAAATATATAGGAATATAGGGAGGTACCATGGGGGTAATAAAACGTGGACCTGCACAGACAATTTTCTGGCATAGGCTGTAGTATCCATTACGAACTTCAAATACCAAATTTGAAACAATTCCGGTAAATAATGCTCTAAAATCATCAAAATACCGAATATCGCGAGGTACCTCCCCATGGTACCTCCCTATATTCCTATATATTTTTTCAAGTTTTGCATTTGAATATTGTAAATCGCTTACAACAAAAGTTGCCTATGCAGGTCCACGTCGTCTTATAGTCCCTAATATACGGCTACATTCGGTATTTTTAAGATTTTCATAGAATTTTTAACGGATTTTATTTTTTTGAAAATTCTGCCCACTCTATCAAGTACCTCCCACACAAAGGGTCAAAATTTTGAATAATTATAACTCTTATAAAATGTGATTTAAAAGTCCGACAGTCTTCAAATTACACACATAACAATATTTTTATTAACCCTAGGTCTGGTGTGAAGATGAAATATAACGGTCCACTCCTTCTGACATCTCCCCCACAAAGGGTCAAAATTTTGAATATCCATGAAGCTCATATAACGTGAAATTAACATTCGATTTCATTCTGACTTGGTACATCACAATATTTCCATCAGCACAAGATCTGTTATAAAGATGGTAGAGATCGGACCATTCCTTCGGGTACCTTCCCGCAAAGGGTCAAAATTTCGAATAATTATATGTCTTATAATTTGCGACATAAGCATTCGATTGCCTTCAAATTTTACACATCTCAATGTTTCGGTTAATCCAAGATTTGGTGTGAAGATGGTGTATATCAGACCAATACTTCTGGTACCTCCCCCACAAAGGGTCAAACTCTCGAATAATCATGAAGTTCATAAAACGCGAAATTAACATTCGATTTCATTTCGACTTTGTACAGCACAATATTTCCATCAACACAACATCTGTTAGAAAGATGGTAGAGATCGGATCATCCCTTCTGGCACCTCTCCTCACAAAGGATCAAAATTTTGAATAATTACATCGCTTATAATTTGCGAAATAAACATACGATTCCCTTCAAATTTCACACATCCCAATATTTGTATTAACGCAAGACCTGGAGTGAAGATCGGATATATCGGTCCACTTCTTCCGGTACCTCCCCCACAAAGGGTCAAAATTTTGAATATCCATGAAGCTCATATAACGCGAAATTAACATCCGATTCCATTCAGACGTGGCACATATCAATATTTCCATTAACGCAAGATCTGTTATAAAGATGGTAGATATCGGGCCATTCCTTCTGGTAGCTCCCCCACAAAGGGTCAAAGTTTTAAATAACCAAAACGTTTCTAAAATCCGAAATAAGCATCCGGTACTCTTCATATTTCACACATCCGATTACTTTTACTAACAGAAGATCTGCTGTGATGATGGAATGTATCGGTCCGCCTCTTCTGGTACCTCACCCACAAAGGGTCAAAATTTTGAATATCAATTAAGCTCATAAAACGCGAAATTAACATCCGATTCCATTCCGACTTGGTACATCGTAATGTTTCCATCAGCGCAAGATTTGTTTTAAAGATTGTAGAGATCGGACCAATCCTTCTGTTACCTACCCCACAAAGAGTTAAAGTTTTGAAGAACCGAAACGATAATAAAATCCGAAATAAGCATCCGGTACTCTTCATATTTTACACATCCCAATATTTTCATTAACCCAAGGTCTGGTGTGAAGATGGAACATATTGGTCTACTCC